AAGAAGAAAAGAAATTCCAATGATTGTGCAGCACAGCTGATTGTTGCACAGCTGATTGTTGCACAGCTGATCGTCGGAACGTTTTTTAAAAAAAACTTTTTAAAGCATTTTTTTTTTGAAAAAAGTTTTTAAAAAACTTCCGGCAATCAGCTGTGCAACCATCAGCTGTGCCAGGTGATTGTCGGACCTTTTCTTAATACCTTTTTTTAGCATTTGTTTTAAAAGAGTAAGAAAAAAGTTCAGACAATCAGCTGTGCAACAATCAGCTGTGCTGCACAATCATTGGAATTTCTTTTCTTCTTTTTTTTTTAGCATTTTTTAACTACCGGTTCTCCTGGGGGGAAAAAGTTCCAACAATTGCGCGGCACAGCTGAATGTTGCACAACTGATCATCGGAACGTTTAAAAAACTTTTTAAAGCATTTTTTAACTACCGGTTCTCCCGAGAAAAAACGTTCCAATGATTGCGCAGCACAGCTGAATGTTGCACAACTGATCATCGGAACTTTTAAAGAACCCTTTAAAGCATTTTTTAACTACCGGTTCAGATGAACTGGCCCGAACCGGTAGCATTTCACCCCTGCTTTGTTGTCATTGTACATCAATTTCATTGTATGCAGCCCACCCCTGGTTGTATCTACAAATTTGCAGTCTTCTTCCTCAAAGTTAAGTCAACCTCAAGTGAAGCGGGTGAAAAAGACAGCCTTTCTGAGCTCCCTCTCTCACCTGCTGGGCCGTTGGGCCTGTGGATGAGCACCAGGCAGGATGGATGCCTCCTCAAGAGGTTGCAGATGAAAGGAATGGCGATCAGCAAACCATCCGGCGGGGCGGTGAGCGCCAGTCGGGATAGACGTTTGGCAAAGGCTGCCACCAGATATGCGGGCAAGTGCCTGTTGGAAGTAGCAGAGACCCCCAAGTAAAGAGAACGTTTGTAGCTCAGTTTTGAACTCTGCAGTCCTTGGTACTCTTGGTTTGTTGTTTTTCTGAAGACATGGTGGTTTTCTGCCACCATGACCCAACTAGGTAGTGTCATCATTGCTAGAAGGGAGTAGAGTTTGCAGAGAGGAGGAGGAGGGGGAGGAGGAGGAGGACTATGGAGTCTTTGATACTCTCTGAGCTTGGTTGTTTTCTTGCAGACATTTCAGGACCCAACTAGGCAACATCATCAGTGCTAGGAGGGAGTAGAGTTTGCAAAGGAGGGGAGGAGGAGAACTATGGGGTCCTTGGTGCTCTCTGAGCTTGGTTGTTTTCTTACAAATGTTTCTTGACCCAACTAGGCAACATCATCAGTATTAGAAGGGAGTGGTGTGTGAGGAGGAGGAGGAAGAGGAGAAGAGCTGTGGAACTAATCATCCCTGTTTCGAAACCGAAGAGCCAGCACTGTCCGAAGACATCTCTGTGGTCATGTAGCCGGCATGACTCAACACCAAAGGAGCATGGAACCCTGTTCCCTTCCCACCAAAGGTGGTTCCTATTTTTCTACTTGCATTTTTACGCGCTTTCGAACTGCTGGTTGGCAGAAGCTGGGACAAATCACGGGAGCTCACTCCATTATGTGGCGCTAGGGATTCAAACTGCTGAACTACCGACCTTTCTGATTGACAAGTTCAGCATCTTAGCCACTGAGCCACTGCGTCCCACTTTAGAAACATGCTTTTAAAAAATCTTCTTTCTCCCAATATTTCCCAAAAGTGGAAAGACAGCATGTCAGGGAAAAGAAGCTTTTTTTTTTCTCCCCTTGATGTGCTAGCTTTCTACTTGCAGGGAAGCCGGACTTTTC